CCGAACTCACTGCCCTCCAATGGACTTCAACTCATAGTGACCCCTCCTTGGGTTTCTGAGGCGGTATCACTACGGAATTCGATTGCTCAACCTTCCTTTTGAGGAGTGGCTCGTGGGTTTGAACCGCCAGTCTTCTGGTTAGCAGTCACATGGCTTAGGCACTACCCACCACGGCTCGCTCTGTAGAGATACTGCCTCGTAACCACAAGGAGGGGTCACGATGAATCAGAATCGATTGGATGGCAGTGAGTTTGGCGTATTTTTACCTTTCATCAACCCAATCAAATCTCTGCTTGAAAGGCTCACCTGAAATTAAACAACTGATTCTTCATAAATTCTGGTCTTGCCTTCTGCCTCCAAGCCATTAGAGGCTGTTCTCTCTAACTGCATCCACCAATAAAAGCACCTTTGTTTTATCAACAGACTGTGTTGGTTATGTCTGGGAAGACAGCTTCTCACACAGTATTTGAAGACTGAATGATAAACATGCTTGCTTATACAATCTTTTTATATTGTATTACTACACAACTGCAGGAAATTTGAATGAATGCAGGTTTCACTTTTGGCCCCTGAAGGCCCACAAATTTTGTGTTTTGAGTTACATATTGTTGATCTGCTTCCACATTTACTTCAGTAGGACTCAATCTAAAACAATAAAGTTCCTCAAGGAAAAAGTAGGGGCAAATTTAGGGGCCTTAATTTATGGCATAAATAGACTGTCAAGCGTAACTCAAAACACACAAATAGCAGAAGATAAACTGGATGAATGAGACCTGTAAACTAAATTTTTATGTGCTTCCAAAGACTTCTCCAAAAGGGTAAAAAGAGAACCTACAAATTGGGTAAAAATATTTGGCAATGACATCTGACAGGGGACTCATCTCTAAAATTTATAGAAGACTCCAGCATCTCAACAACAAAAAGATTAACAATCCAGTTAAAAAGTGGGTGCAAGACATGAATAGACACTTCACCAAAGGAGATAGTCAGGTGGCCAGCAAATACACGAAGAAATGCTCATGATCATTAGCCATCAGAGAGATGCAAATCAAAACAACAATGAGATACCATCTCACCCCAGCACTAATAGCAAAGTTCAACAAGACAGAAAATAACAAATGCTGGTGAGGATGTGGAGAGATTGGGACTCTCATACACTGCTGATGGGACTGTCAAATAATACAATCACTGTGGAAAGCATTTGGCGATTCCTTAAAAAGTTGGAATTAGAAATACCATTTGACCCAGCAATCCCATTACCACATATCCTAAAGTAGTGACAGCCAAGAACAGATACTATGCATACCCGTGTTCACAGCACTATTTACAGCAGCAAAAAGATGGAAACAATCTACGTTCTTTCTCATCAACAGAAGACTCGATAACCAAACAATGGTACATGTACACAATGGAATACGATGCAACACTAAAGAATAATGCAGAATCTGCAAAACACTGCATAACATGGATGAACTCAGAGGATATTATGCTGAGTGAAATAAGTCAATCACAGAAGGGCTAATATAGTATTAGTGCATTATTGTAAAAAGTCAAAGAAAGGTTTATATGTGGAA